GCTCGTGACTTGAGACTCCACCTCATTGACGAGAACCTCAACTTCAAGGAGGTTTTGGGGTGGACCGAAACTTAGGAGCTACCTTCCGGCTCACGACGTGAAAGAAGCGCTTGTTGGGAGGCAACCCAACCAGTCGGTTTGCATTTCTTTTTTTTCCTTCTTTTTCTCCTTAGTTGAGTCAGTTTTGTTATTTGATTTTAGAGTCAATAACTCAACCTTTGTGAGATTTTGTGTGGTGTTTGTGTTTCGAATACTCTCTCCTCCTGGAATGCACCGCCTGCCTCGTCCACCGTCATTCACCCTTGATCTGGTAACTTCGTTCTACCCTCCTTATCTTTCCTCCATTGAGGACAATGTCGTGCTTAAGTGTGGGGGGATGTTCGATTATGTATGCGGGTGAATGTTTGGCTGTTTGTGTGCTTGGAGCCTAGTCCACTGTCCAAATTTTTAAATTTGAGGTCTCCAAGTACGTGTTTCCTTGCAAATTGCCTGCTCAGTATGCTTTGAATTGACAGTCTCTATAGTAATGTGCAACCTAGGGAGGTAGTGTAGCACTATGGAGGATGTTGATGCGTTTAAGAAGTCTCGTTTCTTCTTCATATTGTGTTGGTTGATTGTGTGAATTAGTGATCTTAGGACCCTTGAATTGTGTGGTGTTGTGGACTCTCTACCTGTCATGGACTCCTGTATCATGTTTTGAAATAAAAGGTGCTCGAAAATGTGCTTTAAAATAATGTCTCCCGTGCGAATAGGGCGAAAGTGTGTAAGAGGAGACGCGAATCCGTTCCCAATTTCCAACTACTACCTCCAGCCCCCTTACATATCTTTCCCCCGCACGAGGCTTGAGACATTCGCTCCCGGCATGGCCGGTAAGAGCTAGGCTCCCGCAAAATCTTTGCTAGGTGGGAGCCCCGTTTTCTGAAAATCAGGTTGGAACCCTTGAAAAAAAAAAAAGAGAACAAAAGAAAAGGAAAAAAAAGGGGTTCCAACCGTCTTCAAAAAGAAAAAGAAAATAAGAGCACCTTGAAAAATGTGAGTCCATGATCTTTTGTTTTTGAGAGTCTCTTCGTCCACGATTCATCTGTCCTCTGATCACTATTTACCATGACGTCGACTCGAGACTAGCGTTCTCGCCGAAGAAGCTATGAGATGACTTGTGCGTCGGTTGACCTCGTAAGCTGCTAAATGATCTACAAAATCCTCTATCAACGATCGAGGGTGCGTGTTGCTATAGAGTTCTGGAGAGTTGCATTGGTTTGAGTTAGGTTTGCTTGGGGACAAGCAAACGGTTAAGTGTGTGGGGATTTGATGACTCGATATTTGCACATGTTTTCCCCTTTGTTTCTTGATCGTTTGAGCTTTAATTATCGCGTCTTTGGCCTATTTTACGCTAGGTTGTGTTCCTTTGTTACATTTCAGGTCCTAGCACATAAAGTGAAGCATAGGCGCAAGTTTCAAATCAATCAGAGATCAATTGGCGATTCAGGAGAAGAAACTCGGGCATGACCTGAAGAAGAATGGATTTCTACCTCACTTTATGGACAAATAATCATGCAAGCTTGTCATGAAAAGAAAGAGGACGAGACTACGAGCATTTGGGATCAAACGGCGACTGATTCGGAGTCCGATCGAGGGAGAAACGAAGCATTGAATATAGGGGAACATGTTCGGCAGTAAAAACACGGGTGCGCCTAAATCAAAACACGGCCGTGCCCATATTTAGGCACGACCGTGTTTTGGCCGACGCGCGCGGGCGTGTTTTTAACACGGGGCAAAACACGGGCGGCCAAAAGCAAAACACGGTCGTGCCCTCGACCGTGTTTTGCCCAGAATCGGGTTTTTTTAACCCAAATTCGAGCTAAAGCAGAGGGAGAGCTGAGTTTTTGGATCCCAAACACCCAAGGGACGAACCAAAGAGAGAGAGGGCGATTTGAGGGCATTCTTGGAGTGGAATTGGAGGATTTCTTCGCCTTGGAAGCTAGAGGAACAAGCCCGGACTTGAAAACTGATCATCTGAAGATTCTTACTGCAGTCTCTCTCTTCTCTATGGAGTAACTTCCCTTCACTTAGGTTTTGAGGAACCCTAACTATGTTTGTTTGATTGGGTGATTGTATGAGTACTCTTACTTGATAATCTTGAGTTCATATTCAATCTATGCATGTTTTCATGATTCAATTCTGCTTTAGTCGAGATTATTGATTCTGCTTTGATCCTATGAGAGCGAATACCTGATTAGGTCAACAGAGCACCATAGATTGATAGTATTGGATCGATTGCTTTAGTCGAGGGTTGATTCAATGCTTTGTATCGATTGAGAACCTCATTCGATAGAGGGAATCAAGTTCAGAACGCCTCGATCGGTTGTTCTAGAGAAGGATACGTCCCTCTAGGCAATTGAGTCAAGAGGGCCTTGTTCCTTTAGTCGAGACTCAAGGTCTAGTCAAGGATTCTCCACATTGTGAATGAAAGTGAAACAGGTTAGAGATCATCAATCATTAATCTGGCTAGTGGCTAGGGGGAATCATACCTAAGTGAGTTCCCAACCTGTAATTAGATTAACTTTAACTGTAGTTTGCTAGAGTAGTTTTAGTTCTTTCATCTTAATCTGGTTTGCTAGATAATGAACTGAAGCTGAGTAATAGTAACTCTAGAGACCCGTGGATTCGATATTTATTACTTGAGCCACTATACTGCAGTCCCTTTCATTGGTTACACTTGGCCAGTGTTAGGAATTGTGTCATAGCGCGTCAGCTGCTGATTCTGAAGACTTATCTGCTGGAACTGGTGAGACAAGTAGTCTTGGGATTGAAACGAAGAGCTACCACCCCCATGCTCATAGGTGCTCTGGTAGGGGCGGGGTGGTCGGCAGCAGCGTCCACATCCTCAAGGGCCGCGGTCTGATCCTGCGCAGGGTGGTCGGGAAGGAGGGGGGGGGACAAGAAGGCCCTCAATCCACTTGACACTGCGGGAGACCCTCAGCAAGTGCATCTTCGAGATCGTCTCTTCTCCGAACAACCAGGTGCTACCCTGCCCTGTGCAATTCTGATAGGGGATCTGGAAATAGTCGGCCAGCAGGGTGATGAGTGGTGTGCAGTGGAGGGTCCCCAGAGTCTGAGCACTCTTGTCCATAGTCCTCGCCACCATAGATCCCAGGTGGAGGGCATGGTGCTGAGTGCGGATCGAGTTGATGAAGTAGAGGGACCGCCTGGTCAGGGTGCTGGCACTGTCGCCAGCTCGAGTGAAGGACTTCGTGAGCAGGTGGTGGAGCAGGCGATTCTCTATCTGCAGAGTGCTGGCTTCTTCCGCCACACAGTGAAGAGGTCCTGAGCGGGATGAGCTAGCCAGGTGTATAGAGCTTTGAAGGAAACACCGGCTGGATTAACGACCTCGGTGACATACTCCTTGTCATCATCCATGTCGAGTTCGAAAGCGACAGCAAAGTCGTGGTAGCTCATGGAGCGAGGTTCATCGCTAAGCCTGAACTTGATGGCCTCGTTGTCCTTCCATTCGGTGGTCTCGTTGTGCACAAAGGTGGTGTAGAACTCTAGTACCAGCTCGTGGTAGACCTTTTCGTGCACAGTCAACAGCTGGCGCCATGCTCGGTTGCTAGCAATAGCAAGGAAGTGGTCGTAGCAATTCAGCTTCTGAAATTTCCTCCTGCTCCAAGAGTGATGCTTCCCAAACTTAGAGGCCAGGACGCGCTTAAATCAATCCTTGTGGGTGCCCCTTTTCAAATCACTGATGAACTGATGCTTAAGGTTTGGCTTCGTCAGGGTCCTGCAAGAAAGTGGACCAAAGTGGAGGCAAAAGAGTCATAGGAACGGTCAATCACACCCCACACGTAATAACAGAAAACAGTCGAATCGTAGTTTCATCCATAGTTCGGGGTTTAATAACTCGAGCAAATAAGCATAATCTGGATGGGGGGTGCACATCAACAATAAAGAAGGAAACTCAAGGTTCACATCCATAGCAAACACACCATCAGATCACCTCATTAAGGGCCCCAACCGGCTTCCACAAATGGTATGAAAAACTGGCATTTCATCGAACAACTTGTGTGCACTATTAAATTAAGCATAAAATGGACGAATTCCGAGCACACAAGGGTTCAATCAAGCAAGGGAAACATCTCACACATAATCCAAGCCATCCCCTCAAACAATTGCAATCACATCGCATATTTCAATGTGGTTCTCTATATATACACCCTAACACTCAATTCTCCGCAATTCACAAGGTAAAGGGCAAAATCAAACCTGGAGACACAAGTAGAGGTGTAGGGGATGATGAGGGGAAGGCAATGGAAGCGACGAAACCCCTAAATTCTGCCTGGAAATGCTCGTCGGAGTCTCGTCGGAAATCGCCTCCGGTGACCCAAATCCGACCCAAATCGCCTCAAAATAAAGGGATAGGCCGGAAAGGAGCAAGGGAGATGGGGTATGAAGTTGGTTTGGTGAAAAACCAACCAAAAATGGCCGGAAAATCGCCAAGAGCACGAAAAGTCGCGGTTTTCCGACGAGGGTGAGAGTTTTCCGGCGAGTGATTTTGATTTCTGGCCTTACACGGCCGCGAGAGCCCTTTTATAGGCGAACGGGGCGCCACTCGGGCAGACCCACACGGCCGTGTGGGTGTAGTTTTTGCCCGTGTGAGGCCGAGAATTTTACACGGGCTGGCCGGGGATTTCACACGGGAGTGTGTGGGCCCCTTTTTGCCCGTGTGGAATTTCCAGGGGCTTCACACTGCCAAAGGTGATTTCCGCGTGACCGTGTGAATTTTAGGCATGGTCGTGTGGATTTCTAGAGCCCCGGATTCGATCAGTTTTCGAGCAAAAGAGACATCCAAACCTTTGACAACACCTCACGCCGTCCTTAACTTCCATCACAATCTAGCTACCCTCTGCGTATTAGCTACGGTTCTGGCCAAATGGGGCAAAACTCGCGAACTGAGATCCCTCATCGAAGACAACGCCATTAGCGGCAAGATCGGTTTTAGCTTCATGAACCTCTTGTACCGGTACTCCGCCGCTGGGGATATGGAGGCAGTTCTCGCGACGTGGAACAACTGCAGAGAGAAAGACGGTAAGAAGGATCGTCTTTGCAGCGAGGCTTACAACATTGTCATGAGCATTTTCACGCGGGAAAGGAATGATTTGGGGGCAGTGAATATGTTCTATAAGATGATTGATGAAGGTGGTATTCCAAATTCTAGAACTTATACTGTCATGATGGAGCATCTCCAGGAAATCGGATTCAGCAATGGAGGTTTTCGATTTGTTGCCCAGAAGGGTCAAGCGGACTTCGAAGCAGTACTTGGTTTAGGTTGATGGGTTTGTGAAAAGTGAGAGGTTTAATGAGGTGAAAGCTCTATTTTAGGCATTGAAAGCTTATGGCAAGTACCCTAGCCGTGCAATGTTGATGGCTTTGCAGGAGTTAAGAGAGGCGTGATTTATGGATGAAACAGTTCAGCTTCGAGAAAGAATGCTCCCTGATGAACGGATCAAAAGCATTGTTTCTTGCGAGGATAACTCTGATGAGGACAGTGATGAGAATGAAGATGAAGTTATCAAGTTGAAACCATGGTTAGATCCAAAAGCTTTAGCGGATGCTTTGAGTAAATGGAGCCCTTAAGTTGTGTCAACTTTGGAAGATGCAAAATTCGTCTGTACTACTCGTTTGGTTTGTAAGATCCTCAGAAACTTGAAATCTCCTGAAACAGCTTGGGATTTCTTCTGTTGGGTTGCTTATCAGTCTGGATTCACTCACGATGTTTACACAGTACAACGAATGATAACAGTGTTATCCCGGCATGGGAAGGTTGAGTTGGTTGATCAACTCATAGCAAAGATAAGAAATGAAGGGATGGAATTGCCGTTTAGTACCATCAGGTTGATAATCGAGTTCTATGGTGTTTCAAAGTATCTGGATGTTGCTTTAAAGATCTTCCGTGAGGATAGATTACTTTGTGGTTACATAAACGAATTCAACTTGATGATTCTTTATTCAGCCCTCTTGCGAACTCTGACCATTGGATCGAGAGTCCCCAGCCCAACCGACTCGGCCCGTGGACACTCCGCATGCAGCCCATGCTACGTCCCAGCAAGCCTCCTCCAACGAGGAGATAGAAACCCTAGTCACTTATTGTAACAAAGGGTATATATGCTTGTGTAAACAGAGGTTTCGACCACCAATTCATTAAGGAATAAAAGCTGCAGCTGGAGAGTGTTCCACTCTCCCGTGGATTAGTCTCAATCGAACCATCGATTGAGGATACCACGTTAAATCGTTGTTCTCGTTTTGCATATTTTACATGGTATCAGAGCCTGGTTTAGATGTGCTTGAAAAGATGCTCAGTTGTGGGATATGCCCTGATAGTCAAACATTTTCTGCGTTGATGTACCATGTCGGGTTACAAGGAGATGTCAAGACAGTGCGGAAACTGTTTATGACTGTGAGAGAAAATGGTGTTGCTGTAGATGGTTACATGTACTAAGTACTGATCCAAGCTTATTGCATATGTGAGCGGGCTGCTCTTGGTTTAGAGTTTTTGAAGACATGATGAACTCGAATCTGATGCCTGATTTGGCTACTGAGGATTTACTGGTGAAGAGTCTTTGGAAGAAAGGAAAAAGAAAAGAGGCAGCTAGTGTTGTGGAAAGCTGTGAAAAAATTTAGCCTAGTCCTCCCACTTCTGTTGAGAGGACATTATGGACAGTAAGCTGTGAAGGTGAAGGCAAGGTGCCAGACATCCTGCACCAAATCATGTAGATATCACAGTTACTGTCTTTTTCTCACACTCCCTCTCTGTCTCTCCATCTTGCAGTTAGAAGAACGGGTGAAAGACGGGTGATCAAATGATAGGGTGGCTTGTCATCAACATTGATAACCCTTCAACGATTTAATTAATCATCATTTGGCTGATTTGGGTTGTCTTTTTGGAAAACTTCATAGCCAAACAGCTGTAATACTTTAAAAAATCCAGCATACCGCAGCATATCAGACATCTTTCCTGTGGATAACCGTGAGATCAGTCACTCATGATTTCAGGTTCTCTTTCAAGGAACTTACTAGTCCTGATGCATGTTGTCTTAACCAACTCTAACAAGGTTGTGGTTTTATGAATTTACTCTAACCAAATATAGTCTGATTCTCATGGAACCTTATGTTTTTGCTTGTGGAATTAATGAACCATTGGGATAGGATCTGCGCTTTTATATGTTTCTACTATGTTAAGAATGTGGGTAAGGTCATGATTAAATAAACATGGATACAATCATGATTCTTTGCCCGTTTATAGTTCTCTTCCTTAGGTTTGATGGGAAGTGTGAACGTTAAAATATATTTACAAATTACAAGATGCTGAATTTTTAGAGATGGTAGAAACATCATTGTGGTTGTTACAAACTTAGAGATGAGATGACATATTTTGAATCTTTTTTCGTTCCAAAACCTGAATATCTTATATGTTTCGTGCTGCAGTAGATAGATTTTGCATCATCCATAAAGTCTCACAATTCTGCACTTTGCTTCTGAACTTCAAATTCTACCTTGCTTTTCAAGTTGATGTAAACTTACTTGGCCTCTCATTAAATTAGTAGAAGCTCAGTATGAGTATTATCCTCCCCCTTCGCACAAGGCAAAATATAAAACAGGATAACGCTTTGCCGTCCTAGGCCTGTTCCTGATTAAACTAGGTGTTTTAATGTAATATTGTTGTTGTTCACGCTATGCTGACAACGATTTTGAATTCTTTTTCCCAGAAGACAGCCGGCAAAACGGAATATGTTCCCCAGTTTTGATCATGATACTGTGCTCTCTAGAGGTCATTGTCAAGGCAGCCATCAGCTGCGGAACTCAAATTCTGCTGCTCTTAAAATATACATTGCAGAAAAATGTCTAGTTTATTGGGGAGGACAGAAAGCAACAACACACGATAATGACGGCAAGCAGCTACATCTCACAATCATCTCGAATTTGGTAACAGACTAACAGCTCATTTAAAGCTCAAAATGGGGTTGAACACAACTTCCAAACCTTCAACCATGTCGGCCATCTCACAACTGATCTTGCTTCTTCTGCTCCTAGGTTGTTCCACCGCAACTATCGTCGTGATATCACAGGCAGCCACCGACTTCTCCTGCTCTCGTTCTGGGGAACCTAGTACTCACCCTTGCAAGACATATCTGTCTTACCATGTCCAGCCACCAAACTTTCTGAACCTTGGTAGCATCTCTGATCTCTTTGGTGTCAGCCGCCTGTCAATAGCAACTGCCAGCAACTTGGCCTCCGAGGATTCGACATTAGTTCCGGACCAGCTCCTGCTTATCCCTGTAGAGTGTGGATGCACAGGCAACAATTCCTTCGCCAATCTCACTTACCAAATCAAAGGAGGCGACAATTTCTACTCGGTCTCCGTCACGCCACTGGAGAATCTCACCAACTGGCAACTCGTTGAAGCATTAAACCCTGGTGTGACTCCAACCCTTCTCCATCCTGGTGATCAAGTCACATTCCCTCTACTCTGTCAGTGCCCTTCCAGGATGCAGATCGACAACGGAATCGAGTTTCTCATCACTTATGTCTTGCGGATAGATGATACTCTCCAGTCTGTTGCTGAGAAGCTGGATTCATCAGTCAACGAGATTCTGCTGGCAAACAACTACATGAATTTCAGTGAGGCAATCAACCATCCAGTTCTGGTCCCAGTCACTAGCTTACCTGTTCTCAAGTCGATGAATCCATCTTCGCCGAAAACAAGGGAATCAAAGCTACATTGGATCATTGTTATAGTTGCAACCACTATTTCCGCTCTTGTGATTCTCTATCTAGGGTTTGTCTTTGGTTGCCGACGAAGCAGCAGCAACAAGAGGTTCCTCCTGGTGCGCAAGAACTCGAATCTAGAAACTGATGAGCTGATGATGCGACAAGCCAAGAAACTCAAGCAGAAGAAGGTTGATTACCTTCCAGGAGTTTCAGGGTATCTAAACAAGCAAACCATTTACGACGTGAATACGATCTTGGAAGTTACAATGGATCTCCATGACTGTTACAAGATCGGAGGTTCAGTCTATAGAGCCACCATTGATGGGCAGGTGTTAGCTGTGAAGAAGTTCGAAGGGGAAGCAACTGTAGAGCTGCAGATTCTGCAGAAAGTCAACCACGCTAATCTGGTGAAGCTGATGGGGGTTTCATGCGATCAAGAAGGAAACTTCTTGTTGGTCTATGAGTATGCAGAGAATGGTTCGCTAGACAAGTGGCTGTTCAGAAAATCTGCACCATCCTCATCATCATCTTCAGGATCTTTATCGTTCCTTAGTTGGAGCAGAAGGGTGCAGATAGCATTAGACGTGGCGAATGGCTTGCATTACTTGCACGAACATGTTCAACCGAGCAGCATCGCGCATCGTGATATCAGGAGCAGCAACATATTGCTGGACTCAAAATTCAGGGCGAAGGTGACGAATTTCGCTTTGGCGAGATTTGCAGAGGAGTCCATAGCGCCGAAAGTCGACGTCTTCGCATTCGGGGTGGTTTTGCTGGAGCTGCTCTCAGGGAAGAAGGCGATGGTGACGAAAGAGAGCGGCGAGATTGTGTTGTTGTCTACAGAAATCAAGACTGTGTTGGAAGTTGCTGAGAAAAGGGAGGAAAATTTGAAGAACTGGATGGATCCTAACTTGGAGAACATGTATCCCATCGATGGTGCCCTGAGCCTGGCGATTTTGGCAAGGGCCTGCACTTTTGAGAAATCTTCTGCTAGGCCAAGCATGGGAGAGGTCGTGTTTAACCTCACAGTGCTGACGCAGTCGCCTCTAGATGATTCGCTGGAAGAGGTGTGGCCTACTAAGCTTGATGCTGAAGAACTTTTGCAGATCATCAGTCCAGTTACTGCTCGTTAACCGCTGTATATAAGCTCTGCTGCTCGTTAATTTGTACAGTGTGCCTCTCTTGGACTTTGAAATTACAAGTGTTCTTGCTTCTTTCAAAATTCTGAAGTGAAAATATAAGAAAAGCTCTGTTCCTGCTTGAATCCTAAGAAATGATGGACCAGGTTTCTAAAACTGAAAACTATGAACTACTAAGGTACATGAATTCAGATCTATACACATCAAATTGTATGATTGTATCATAGAAAGAAAAGAGACATCTCTCCCATGCTCGGTCTATCTTCAAGTTCTTTACCCAAATCAGGCTAGAATCAACTTCGTCATTCTCAGCATAATTTCCACCTGCTGCTTTGGATGCAGACGAGGATTTGCAGACTAACAAAGGTGCGATTCTGAATCTTCTCCACCTAAGATCGTAGCAATTGCTTCCAAAATCAGCATTTCCCTCTCCTCAGAAAGACCATTTCTTTTCTAGTGATTAGTTCAAGTAAACTGGCACCAAATGCATACACGTCGATCTAAGGAATCACCAAACCATACCCTACTTACTCGGGTGCCAGGTAACCTTTTGTACCTTCGCAACCCTAATTGAAGAAGTTACTTACAATGCTACCTCAGCTGACCTTGCAAGACTGAAGTTAGCAATCTTAGCCCTCAAATCAGCATCCAACAGAATATTACTGCTGCTGGTATCTTTATGGACATACGGTGTTCCAGTGAAGTTGTGGAGATAGCTAAGTCCATTAGCAATATCCAAAGCAATCTGAAGCCTAGGACTCCAACTCTGAGCTTCATCTACTACACTACTGCCACTTTTGTGAAGCCAATCCTTCAAGGAGTCGTTCTCCATGTATATGTAAAGAAGGTAGTATTCATCCTGGTGTTAGTATGCAGCAGCAAGACTTACGAGATAGAAATGGTTGATTTTTCGCAGCAGATTCACTTTGCTTGAAACGTTTCTACTCGTCTTCTTGATAGCTACTTCTGGCCCACTGATCATGCCCTCGTAGACTCGTTTGTTCACCCGAGAACTGAAATCACCAGTCGCCTGCTTTAGCTCCTCAAATTCGTGGATTCTAAGCCCTTGGTCAATAGTGGAGTTGCCATTAAAGAAATCTTCAGGCAACACAAGCTTCTTCTTTCTTAACAGCGAGATGATTACCCATGCTAGGATCAAAGACAGGACTGTAGAGGAAACTCCGAGTACAATCCAACCAGTATTTCGTTGTCTCGATTTCCTTAATTTCCTACACTTGAATAGCTGAACTGGAACAACTAAAGGAGCATCAGAAGGTGGTAGAGAGTGGATTATGGTCCATGAGCTATTAGGCTCAGATTGCAGTGGAATGAGAAGTGTTATGAAACCCAAAAGGATAAATGGTCGGATCATTGAATTCTCCAAACCCATTTGCATGGTTGAAACTCTGAATGCTAGCATTGAATTCTTTCGCTGATGCCAGCAACTCCAACTCTCCAGTCAACAGGAACTTGGTGCCCTTTATCGTCCGGTATCTAGTTGGACAAGCACATCTGAGGGGCACTTGCATTCTCTGACCAACTTCTAACTCAGAATCCTTGAATTTTCTGTTCTCTTGCATCAGCACATTGCAAGCTGAAAGCCCTTCATAGGTGTCATTTGAAATCTTGAAGTGTCTTCCGCTTGAAGTCTATAGGAAGAGTTTTCCAAATCATATGAACCAGTGCACGTTACTGGAATCAAAATAACACTTGGCCCATTGGTGGGGTTCTTTTGGGATCCGAGACATAGTTAACGCGACCGAGCTCGATGGAATCTGAACATGTCAGGTTTTATATTCTGGAGAGGGTGTTGTAAGGAGTTTGAGATCTGTACATGAGAAAGGCCTTGCAGGAGGGCTTTTCGCCATTGCAACTGTAGGGAACAGCTGCATCCTTGGAATCACAATCAAGAGCCAAGTTGCCTGAGTAGCTCTGCTGGCAGATGACGAGCTTTGTAACTGCACAGAAGAACATCTGGAGCCAGAAACTCAGCAGAAAATGATCCATCTTCAACCTCCTGCCAAAGTTAGAGAGGTGAATGGAAATTAGAGTTTCTAGGAAGAAAGTTTGAAACTTTCTGCATCAAACCTCATTTTTGGTAATAGAATTGGCAATGCATGTAATTAAACATCTCTCCATATAGGTAATGGAAAATCCTTTCTTTGAATCACAAATTATAGAAAACAACGTTTCTTACATCCAAGGTGAAAGAACCTCGTCTCTTGCATTGCCTCAATGCTGCCTCAAAAGAACATTTTTTTGGAAGAAGAAATCCGAATCATCATAAGATTACGAAGATAGAAACACAAAACTAAAGGCAAGAATTGGCCACTGAGAATTCAGCAGCTTCTGATATAGGCTCTACTAGAAGTCTCAACCATTTACTATATATGGAGAGGGCAATGCCTGCAAGAATTCAAGAGGGAAATGTATTTCTTTAGAAAATGACAGAAAATGATAATGGCAAATGGGAAGGACAAAGATAAGAGGCTGGAGACATATCATGACTAGAATGCTGACTCCTCGAGAGCCATTCCTGAGATTTCTATAATCTGAGATGTTATTAGAAGAAGACAATCCGTGGCAGATAAAGAATTAAAGATATAAACGTCTACCTGCTGAAGTTGAGGTTGAGGGAAATGAGAATTTCCAGGAAGAAAGCTTAAACTGCTGCTTCAAACCTTAATTTGTGGGTTACAGACTTAGTAAAGTTGTTTTCTTGACCGGACAATAATCTTCTCAAGCTATTGAAAAGAAGAACAAACATTAGTGGCTCAAAAGTCTTGCTACCTAATATAAACATATAATAACAATCATTCTCCAGCAGAGTGCTGGCCCTGCCTCCTTGAAGAGGGGAAACCAATACAATTGTCTTCATTTGCAGAATTGGTAGCCTTTACAGGATGACTTCAGAGTATAGGTAGGAAGTCGTTCTCACAACTATCTCATGAATCACTGAAAAAGAATTGGGAATGGAATATGAACAGACACAGTTGACCATTTCAACCGAAAAATAATCAAACTATGTAGCTGAGAAATGGACAGTTAACAAAAATCTAGAGCACCTCAACACAGAAACATGTGATTCTTCTATAGAAAGAAATGAAGTAAAGACTGTAAAGTTCTCAAAATGAAATCCAATCATTAAATCACATTTTTATACAGTACATAATAATTTGCAGCAGACTATTTCTAAGGTGAAAAGACCTCCCCATCTCGAGTCGCTATAATTCTGCCCAACAAGGCACATTCTTTAACTAGATCATAATAAAATTACAAAGTTCGAATAAATAGAGCCATCCCACGTCCCAACAACGCTTGGCAGCAAGCATATCATGAAATCTCCAGTGTAGTAATTCAGCAGCTCCTGAATAGCCTCATAAACGGATATTTACTATGAAAAGAGGGAAATGATCCAAGTTTTATGTATATGCCAAATGCAAAGGACAAAGATCAGAAGACAGGGGAAAAAACATCACAATATACAAAGAATGCTGACTTGTCAAGTTTCATCTTTGAGATTCCTATACTCTGAGATGTTGTTAGACAACTCCCACGAATGTGAAGCCGTCAAGATTCTTGAAAGAGATTGCGCGAGCTCGCTCATAGCTGGACGCTCCCGAGAGTTCTTTTTCAGACAGCCTTCAACCAGCCTCACTACAAAGCCAGCAAACTCTAATGGAAAGTTCCCTTCCATTGATGGGTCAAGAAATCCAGTGATATTATCTCGTCCATCTTGAGAAAGAAGAACTTCATTCACAACACCAGACAAACCATCAATTCCCTCCTTATACAAGGAAGCAACTTCTTTCCCAGTTATCATCTCCAGAAGAAGAACTCCAAATGCAAAAACATCAATCTTTGTAGAAACCAGACCATTCTCCAAATACTCGGGAGCCATGTAACCTTTCGTCCCGAAAATGTGCTTTGTAAGGTTAAAGTCCCCATCCTGTCCTTCGGCTGATCTTGCATGTGCCAAGTTTGCTATCTTGCCCCTGAAATCGCCATCGAGAAGCACATTCCCGGCTTTTATATCCTTGTGAACCTGTGGAGGACTCGTGAAACTGTGTAAATAGTCGAGTCCCAAAGCTACATCCACAGCAATCTGGATTCTTTGAGTCCAAGTCAATATCTTTCCACCGTTGCTGGATGAATAGATCCAATCACTCAAAGCTCCATTCGCAGCAAACTCATAAACCAGATACCAATTGCCATCATTAAAACAGACACCAGATAGACGAATGATATTGGAATGGTTGATCTTGTTGAGTAAATTTATCTCCTTGGTCACATCCCCATCCATTTTTTTTATAGCAGCAAGATCACCATTAATCTTGCCTTGATAAACAGAACCGTTGATCAAACATTTGGGGCTGAAATTATCAGTGGCAGCCACCACCTCCTCATATGTGTAAACTTGAATGGACTGAGCAATACTAGATAACCTCTCCAAGAAGAAACCTTCAGGCTCTTCCTCTCCCTTATTCTTCATAGACTTCTTCTCCACAGCCTCAAAGCTCTCGGAAGTAGTACCAGCTGGCTCCAACATAGCCTTCCTTCTCCGAAACCAAAGACAGTAAACCACAGTCCCAACGACAGCCAACGTAGCAACGATCCCTCCAACAACACCAGCAACGACATGAACCCACGTCTTGCTGGAGCTGGATCCAGGTGTAGATGGCTCGACCAGTGGAGGAGGGGGAGGGGAAGCTGGAGGTGGTGGTGGAGACACAGTTTGGATACTAGAAGGAGGGTTTTGCAGTGGGATCAAAAGAGTAGTGAATGGGAAGATTGTGGCACTCTGCTCTGTCAGTCCATTGGCCTGAAGAGTCCAGCCAGTATCACCATCAAATCTCGAACTCGCCGTTGAAACCATATCCCCCCAAGTGACCGAATAACTCAAGATGTAATTGATCCCTTGGCCAGTTTGGTTCCTTGTAGGGCAAGCACATCTAAGAGGAACATTGAGTCTTTGACCGGGAAATATATTGACTGTTGTTCCCCTAGTCCCATTTCTAATAGCTTGGCAAGTTGAGAGTCCTTGTAGAGTATCATTAGCGATAAGGAAGAAGCTTTCTCCAGGCTGAACAACGTAAGATGTGTTTGCTTGGTAGTACTGACCTGAACACGAGCAAGTAACAGGAACAAGAACCAGCTGGTTTGTATCAAATGTTGCTGTTTGAGGGACAGAGTTGATTGCCGCCAGCTGAGATGGGTTAGATCCCAAGAGGGTGGAGATTGAATCAACAGTTGTGTATGGAGGTTGAGCTCTGAAGGTGAGGTAGCTTTGGCAGGTCCTGTTGACGCCATTGCAGGAGTATCCCAGGGCTGAATTTGTTGTGACCGAACAATCGTTTGTCCCCTGGCCAATATAAGGTTGCTGAGCCTGAACACTGCAGAAGAAGAACAAGAGAAAACAGAAGGCAAAAGGAAGGAACCCCATTGTGGCAAATTGAGGATATTTCTTTCTGTCTTTGCAGGGTTGAGGTATTTTAAGACTTGTCTCTGGCTAGATAATGGGGACGTTGAAAGTCAACTAGTTGAACATTCTTTGAGAGCCATGTTTCTAGGAAACCCAAAGTCTCCTTTGGAATTTTAGGAAAAGGAAATATCAAAGGAAGACTAGGTAAACAAGTAACAAAAAGGATATTGTGAAGTTGACTGCTCCACACACATCACAATCAAAACTCATCTATATCAACAACAAACCTTGTTGATTCTGTTAGGAATTACGAGAGAACTGAAGAGCTGCAGATGTAAACTAATAATGTTGTCTAACCAGACTGCAAATTTTAAACTATACAAAAAGAATAATAGACACGCATCTAATATTCCAAGTTGGTTGTCCTGACCCATAATACTCTACCACTTGACATCAAAGCCGCCAAGTTTGACTTTAGGCATCATAAAGTAGGGATCTTTTCCTAATGCAACATTTCAAAGAAGCCAATGTACATAATGGAAATCCTGCATATGAAAAAGGGCCCATAAACTATCAAGAATCAGACTTGAAAATCTTTATGTTATGGTCATGCAAACTGCGAAGACCCAAAGGCCATTTTCAACTTGATGGAAGCAAAATCATAGAGAAAAGTTCTCAACTCATTTTCAGCAGGAGCAGGGTGAGAGAAACTGAAGAGCATGACAAGGCAATGCAAGTTACAATCCCAGTTTGTCGATCCCACAAAGCTCTAATCTCTTTTACTACCATCGAACCGCCGATTGCAAAGCAAATGACACTGCCCAAGAATGAATTGTGAAGTGCATTGGCCAGGCAGTCCGGTTTCACGACGAACATTAGCAAGTGAGACACTCAAAGGAAGGGAACCAATTTGTCAAAAAAAGCCCAAGTAAATGAAGGGTACAAGTGATTTAGATTGATAACAAGGGAGTTGGACAACCTGGAATTGGATGAGGAAGTGCGATTGAGAGGTTTGATGCCACAGCTAGAAAACCGATCCAGTACCAATTTAGTTTTGGGTATAAAGAGAACAGAAGCAGATTAAGAACATGGGAAATTACACCTAGGTAAACTCATAAGAATTAAAAGAACATTAACCTCAGGATTGTGAACGGAAGTGCTGGGGTGCTGATGAACATAAATGCCAACATGAATGTCGTCTGCATTGGGAGCCTCCTCCCAGTCGGGCCAACAGAAATCTGTAAGAGAATGACGTTTGATTTAGAAATTAATGCAGTAGACAGTAAAATTGACAGAGAAACTCTTGAAAGATCACTGCTTTTACATCCCAAACGGCAAAGAAGTTGAACAATGACTAATTTCTGGGACCCAATTCTCCGTTTAACCATAGCTTTCAGCAGCATTCATCAACATTTTAGGCACCCTAGCTAGCTAGGACCCATAATAATAAGAGTAGGCAATAAAAAGGGATAAAGGTTGAATTTTGTAACTAGGGCGGTAATTAATTAAGGAGTACTCACGAAGCTGAAACGGTTCCACTTCCACCCCACTGAAAGCTGGCTCGAACCCTTTGGAATGTCGGAATGTCGGATCCTGAAATGCTGCTGCTGGTGTTGAATTGCGAAGAACAAACTCCCCCAGTTCAATATCAGTCCAGTTCGCCATTTCTCTTGGCCCGTGGGATTGGCGTTTGCAACTTGAGTTGAGGAGTTGGGTGGATACTCCCTCGCATTCGTTCGACGGAAAAACTACTCCCTCATTTTGTTGCGTAAAAGGTCCGATCGGCCGGTGGCTGCTCGAGAGTCCACAAAACTATGCTTTTCGCGTTCGCTTTAGTTGGACATCATAGGCGCATCATGCCAGTCACCCGGTGTCCATTTCGTCTTTTTCTTTGTAAATAGATAGCAAATGAAGGAGATAGGGTGATAATTTGGACGAGCAGCTCGTTCGAGAATTAGCTCATTAACTAATAAGGAGTTCAAGCTCCACTTTGTTTAGCTTGTAAGGGTCGCGAGCTAATTCGATTCAGTTGCTTGTTGAGCTAACTTGTGAGTTGACTCGTTTTGAGCTATGAACTGGCTTGGTAGTATAGTTAGCGAGCCTCCTCTACTAGCAAATTAAGGTGAATCGATTAATAACTTCTTCTTTTTTTTTGCGTAAACTGGAGGCACCAGGCTAGAGAAATCAGAAAGAGGCCGGGATAGAAAGGGTTACAGATGGTATGGGAATGTGGGGGATACAATGTTTCTGGCAAAAGTGACTCCTCTGTCATCATCCTACAGTAGAGGCTGGACTTCCAACGGGGTGCCTCTAGCTCATATATACCATAGGGATAGACGAGATTGTGCTTCGAGAGCCAGTCCGCGACTCTATTCCCATCCCGGTATGTATGAGTAGGCCTGTTAGTCGGTGCGGTTTCGGTTTAGCCGAACCGTAAAGTCGGTTAGCCGACACCGAGAAGTCGCCAAAATCGGAAACCGCAACCGACACCGACTACATTGTCGGTTAGCCGATAACCGCAACCGACGGTTTCAGTGTGAATAGGCGGTTAGCCGACAACCACTGGAGATGGAGAGGTCGACGATGAAATTTTCAGGGAGGGGCCGACAGGCCGCAGTGGCGGCCGAGGACAACAAATTTAGGTAAACGACGACTATGCGAGGTGGCGACCAGAGAAAGGCGGTGAGGATGTTGACGGTGTTGATTCGGGCGATTTGACCGACGCACGGCAGAGTGAGGATGTGGACGGCGGCAGAGTGAGGATGTGAACGACGTCTCTCCTCAAGCCTCCTCTCGTCCATGCATGTCACTTGAAGTCCAGGAGGAAGAAGGGTACGTATGGCAGATTATGATGTGAAGGAGGAATGCGAGATCTAGATTCGAGATTGCGATTAGCGATGGAGAGTTAGATGGGCGGCGCCGGCGAGGATTGAGGACGACGGTCGGCCGTGACTAGAGATACGACTTTGCTGGGATGTGAGATTGACCGTCGGCAAGATCGAGATTGGGAAGAACGGTAGTGAGGACGGCGGGTCGGTGAGATCGAGATTGCAAAGCAACGGCGGGCGGTGAAGCCGCGTAGCTAGATTGGGAGGGGACGATGGGTGACGAAGTCAAGATTGGAGAGGTATGAGAGGAAATTGGGAGCTAGAGAAGTGGGAAGTTGGGTTCTGGGCGGATGGGAAATTAGAGATGAGGAAGGAAGTCTGGGAACTGGAATTTGGGAATGAAATAAAGGGGCTGGGCGGTTATATCGGTGGACCGATTTAAATGTCGGTTAACAACCGATAACTGCCGGTTACCTAATAACCCAAAATACACCAACCGCAACCGACACCGAAGCTTTTTTATCGGTTTTCGGTTAGCCGACTAACCGCAAATTTCGGTTCAGTTTTTCGGTTAATCGAGTAACCGGCCACCGACTATCACCCCTATGTATGAGATAGTTTCACTACCCAATCCTGAGAAATCCTCATCCGGATAGCCGAGAGTAGCGTCGCGTAAGGGTGAAGAGGGTCGGATCTATTGTTCACCAACTGAATAGCTATCTGAGAATCTGATTCCAAAATAACAAACCTGTACCCGAGGTTCCAAGCTGTCTTCAAACCGTGATAGATAGCCCACAGCTCGGCCATAGTGGCCGAGCACGAGCCTAGACTTGCAACAAAACCTTGGATCCACTTCCTATTCACATCTCGCAGAGCCCCCCCCCCCCCCCCAGCTCCCACCCTATTATGTTCTCCACCTGCAGCACCATCCACATTAACTTTAATCCACCCCATGGGAAGAAGATGCCACCGTTTGTGTGCAGCAACCCGCGTGGAAGGAGGACATCTCTTGCCGCAAATGACAATAGGAGTTGTCCATGCCTTGTACCACACATCCGCCTTGATCCGAATAGCCTGCATGAGTGATGGAGAGGAGAGGGTCTTACCAATACCATTGAAAACCCCTTCATTTCTGTTCTTCCAGAGAAACCACAGGGCAATGCTGAAAAAGGCGTTCCATGGGATCCCTGTTGGTGTGGCATCCTCCCTTTTCAGGTTATCTCTCAGCCATTTTCCCATCGGGAGGCTGAAAAACTCATGTTGCAGCTCCGCCCTAACCGACCGTGCCCATAAGAAAGCCGCCGGGGCACTCCCTGAAAATGTGGGAAATGGTTTCTTCCTGGGAAGAGCATCTGTAATACTAGGGATCTTTGGTGATATGTCTATTCCTTCTCTCCACATTGCAGCTGATTCTCTCATGCGCTACGAGCCAGATAAAGCAGCAAACTCTCTCCGGCACATGTAGCTTCCATATTCCCTTCCACCAGTGTTGATTAGGATCGGTGGGATAGTGATGGATCATCTGAAAGGCGCTCTTAGTAGAGAATCTCCCGTCTGAGGTGAGCTTCCAAAAGAGGACACCAAAGGATCCACCGCGGAAGCTGTAATCTGGTGTTGAATTTCTGCAGGGAGGAGGGTGTTGAATTTGTCTACTCGCCACCTCCCTTCATCATCCACAAACTCTGCCACACTAGCTCCCCGGTCTCCATCAAGGATAGGCCCCGTCACCATCTCTTGAAAAGGTATCTGCGAAATCCAAACATTAGACCAAAACTTAGTTCGATTTCCATTATGGATATTCCAAGCGCTTCCCTGTTTAACCAGGTTGGCAACCTTGACCATACTTCTCTAGATAAAGGAACTTCCCTGAACCGGGCGCAAAACCTCAAGGTGCTCCCGCCCTTTTCCATACTTGCTTCGAGCCAATTGCACCCATAATGCCTCCGTTTCCTGCAGCAGACGCCAGGCCCCCTTAGCTAGTATAGCCAAGTTCACTTTCCTAGCCGGTCGAAGCCCCATACCTCCAATACTCTTCGACATCGTAAGTTGAGGCCATCCAATCAAATGCATCTTCTTCTTTTTCTCTGTATCACCCCATCTAATTAAATAATAACTTATTATTTAGCTTGTTGATAATTCACATTTGTTAGATTACATTGATCAGCATATATAATGTTTACGACTATGAAGACG